TCGGGATTTAAACATGAACGAATAATGTAAGAAAGGATTGACAAGGTAGACAAGAATGATAGCAAAACAAAAATCAAGAAAGCAAAACAACAAAAATGTTTAAGAACGGCTACGATAACAACAACAATCAAATAGTAATATTATGGAAAACAAACAGCGAATAACGAACTTTAAACTAGAAAACGCTGATCAGACACTGCTGTGATTTGTTTTCCTAATTGGGGGAATTAATTGAAAAGCAGCCTCAGTTTCTGTAAACTGTTAATCTCTTTGAGTGTTTCAGGGTCTGCTGTTCTTTCTCTCTCGTTCTAGAACTCATTAATAATTCATGAGCTATTAGTCCAATCAGAATCCAACTATTGGGTCACATGATTGACCTTTATATTCCGATAAAGCACTGATGTTTTATTAATCAGTTCTATATCAGAGATATAGAGGCCTTTGGTCTCGTGTCTATATCTCCCGATAAAGCACTCCTGCTCGTTTTTTAAACACTACGTAAAAAACTAGACGTGAGGAGTTTTGGGAACTAGAGCATTCAATTTATAAGAATGGCAACCATCTCAGCAATATACCGAGATTTCAAGTGGTCTATTTTTATTATTCAACAACATAATTTTCTGAAGAGTCGCTCTCTATTCACTGATATAGTAACCCTCCGCAGCGGACACTATCGCGTCACGTGGTCGACTCTCCACCAATGATAGCGGAAGGTAAATGCTGTTTTATTATAATTTCAAATAGTATAATGTCTTACTGTTTTCATCGGTGTTGCCATGTCTAGTACGCATGAGATATCCTCTCTTGAGACGTGGACTACTCGCTTCTGAGCCGTGATAACGTTTACGAGTAAATGCTTCTACTGAGCCCACGGGACTTTGGTCTAAATATGCTGACCCAAGAGCATCACGGGAATACATGAGTGGCTTGGTATCTTCATCGTGGAAATCACCTTCATCGTAAAGTCCTCCTTCACTACCAAAACCTGCAATTCCAGTATCGTTGTTGCTTGCCTCCAGTTTCTCCGACGTAAAGAACCGAGGTCCATTTATATTTTTTCCGAAAAAGTTGCAGCCCCCAATACAGCCACAACAGCCAAAGTTTTTTACTGGAGACTTGTATACGCTCGATGAATTCCACAGAAACCACAGACGTTGATACTTCTTGTCGTGGAGTGAAAGAAAACTCTTTTGGTCAACGACATGGTCTGCAAAAAGAAAAAAAACGCACTCAGTCTCTCAGTTTTAGCCGGTACTTCCTCGACGAGTCAGTTTTCTCCGTAAGGAGAGTGGTAGTTTGGAACTGATCGAGCTAGCTCAGTTCACATTATTGAAAATGCGTTGTCAGATTCAAAAAGATTAAATAATCTACAGCATGCAGGAAAAAATAATCTACAGGAAATGCTAAGATCATTTAGTTGTTACAGTCAAACTACCTGAAGCATGAACACCTAGTGATCATTAATGAGTTCAATATTGCATTATTGATTTGATTCTTGAATTCAAATATCCATTGTTCAAATGAAGTTTTGAATATTGAAAAATATTCAAACATGCAAAAACGAATAGAATAAATGAAAATAATATGTGCATGGTTGATAACTGCACATTTTCAAAATTTGGAAAAGTTGACTAATAAACTCAATAATGAATATTTGAATCCAAGAATCAAATCAATAATGGAATAATGAATTCATTAATGATCTCTACGTGTTCACGCTTCAGGTAGTTTGACTGTAAAGAATGTATAAAAAATAAGATTTAATATTTTGATGTAAAAATAAAGAAAAAATATGTTTTAACTATTTCTTGCTTTTGCACACAAAGCACCTTTTATTTCTTCTGCCAAAGAAATATCAGAAATAATTGGTCCTAGCTGTACTCCAGCAGCCTCTATCCAAACTATATCATCAGAGAGAGACATTCGCTTGTGAATGTCCTCAAACACAGGATCGGCTACCAATGGCTTTGGAGCAAGGATAAACTGACGTAGTTTGACATTCTGTATGAACATACTTATACCAGTTGTCGAATTGTCGCAGTGTAAGGTACAGGTAGCAAGGCGAATAGGACTCAACTACAAAAAAAATCATGTTTAAAACTAATAATTGCTAATTTATGAGTTCTCTGAGTTGAGGCAATATATTAATCTTAGGTAAATCTGATACATGGCTTATGTTTTATTCATCAGTGTTGCATGGCATTGACAGGATGACTGAATGTGTCGCAATAACACTGAAGTGTCTTTGATTTGCATTTATTTGTGTAAAGCAACTAACTTAGTACCCTAAAAATGCGCTACATAATATATTTACAAGCTTCACCACCTTCTTAAGTATTGGTTGGGTTCAAACATTATACACGAAACGCTCTATAAAAGCCTACCTGAACGTTGCAAGCGATTCCCGTTTCTACCACAAACAGATTGATGTCTTCTAAAGATACTCTCGTCATACGGTACTTTACGTCGTCTTCTGTGATACAAATATCCTTTAGTTTGCTCTTTACGTCTTCTGGTTTTCCCAATAACGACTTGTTGGTGTCAGAGGCTTTGCCTTTTGAGTTGCGTTCATTCTTCGTTAGAGGCTGTGGACTCTTCTCTTGTGTTTCGGTAGTTTTGGGATTTATAACGTCACATTTATCTTGCCTGTGTCCGTGAATGCATCTCTTGTAAGGGACTGGAGGTTGTAGTTTGTTCTCTTTGCTCATTACATGGAAAATGAACGTTTGAGTCCAATTGATAATAGCTTGAAGCTAAAAGACAACACAGAATCAACACATGGAAAATGAACGTTTGAGTCCAATTGATAATAGCTTGCAGCTAAAAGACAACACACAAACAACACATGGAAAATGAACGTTTGAGTCCAATTGATAATAGCTTGCAGCTAAAAGACAACACGGATAAAATGATGCTACTTTTATATTGAATGGATAGATGGATTGACGTATGGAGAATGTATGAATCGATGGATCGACGGTACATGAGCTCAATAATTGATTGTGTCAGTGTGGTGGTGATGGATGGTGATGGTGATGGTTTTATTTTCCGCTAATAAATTTACAAAAGTATATTTCATTCATTATTAGAGAGTTTAAGCATCACGTTAACGGCAAACGGCTAACGGCAGAGCTAAACCAAGAATTTCGTGCCCGACCTTGTGCTTTTGGTAGTCATTTGAAAGAGCGGCTTTTCACGATTATGGCAATCCCAAAAAATAACCCACTCTCGCGTTGAAACTGCAACGTTAAACTCCAAAAAAGCAGATCACGTGATCTTTTCTGCCGTTTGCCGTGAACGTCTTGCTAAACCTCTCTATTGCTGCATTCATCGTTTCATCGAGGGGAATCAACCAATCAATAAGTTACTACATCAGTACATCGATACACTTGGTACCACTTGGTTTGACCATTGCAAAACTTATGCAACAAGCCAAAAAAAGGTAAAATTAGCAACGAACTGTCACTCGTTGATGCTGTTTTTAGATCTGCTGCACCAAATCTCTTGATTGGTTGATTGAATGCAGTTCATAGAAACGATGGTTTCAAGTGGACGAGACATGCAAACGTCTCTATCAAAAACTTTTTGAACAATTCACGGAGTATTTAGTATCTATGRATCGACAGAAGGCTCTTATCTAAATGTGACACGAATAATTTMTGTGTTTTTCAATGAATGGGAATGAAAAAGGAAGTGTGGCCARACGAATAGCAGTTTCAAGAGAATTTTATCTCGTTAGAAGAAAAATAAATACTAAGTGACATTATCTAGCGTCAAACCTGTGGAATAGTAATTTTTCCGGACAGTATTCCAAACTGTAACTCAGTCAGCCATGCATACTCCAATGTTTCGCCGTCTGGAGGTAAGCCCTCTCCAGAGAACATCGCATGTCCACGCATCTGAAATCCTGACAAACTCAAGTGTCCTTGTGACAAATGGCGGGCCGACGTTCCTCGCTGTGGAAAAGCCATAAAAAAAGATTACTTAAAGAGTTTAAATACACTGTAAGGGTGAAAAAGAGCCCGAATACATCCTTTTGCAGTGAGAACTCTTAGGTTGTAAGCCCGTCAGAATGGTATCATCCACGTTGCTATCTAAAGTCATATGATGGAATTCTTAGAGAGTAGATGGATCAATATATAGCTGAGTGATCAAACTGCAGAATATGTTTAGAACAAGTTGATAGATGATTTGCAGATTAATTTAGCGCGAAAAGAAAGTTCATAAGTTAGCCATGATGCATCTGATATGATATATACTTTCGGTCAGAAATTCTACAAGTGACTTTACTGAAAATTGGTGAATAAATATTAAATATCTAAGATAAAATAATTAATGAAAATGATATACCTCRTATCCATCAGACACAAGTATTGTCATTGGGGTCAAGTGCAGCTGTAATCTAGTTTCATTGTATGATTTCTTCATTTCAAATGTGAGTCTTTCAAACAACAGCAAAGGAGATGAAGGTTCTGATGCTCCACAGTGCTACGTGAAAACAGAATTTGAAATAATAGTCATTATGGTCACATGAATACTTTGCAGAATATTTAGGTTATCGGTAGAGATAACATTGCGAAGGAAGAAGGGATAAAAGGAAAAGGAGAAATACGAAAAGGAAGGACTGTAGGAAAGAAAGAAAAAGAAAATGAAAAGAAGGAAGGACGACAGAAGAAAGAAATGAAATGAAGAGGCCAGACAAAAGTAAAAGAAGGAACGGAGATGGAGGGAAATGGGAGTGGATGAGGAGAAATTGAAGAAAACAAAGAAAGCAGAAGAGAGAGGAAGAAAAGGGAAGGGAAACAAAGACAAGGCAAAGAAAGCCAAAGGGGAAAAAGTATTCAAGAATTGGTCACGATATATAGATGTCAAGATCATATTGGAAAGTGCAGCAAGAAAAGAGTGGTAATGGAAATGGCCAGCAAGGCGAGTTATGGCKAGTAAAAGGGACGTAAAAACAAAGAAGAAAAGATAAAAACCTACMAAACCAAAAGTGGCAAACTCACCTTCGTTAATTCAGCTTTRAAGTCATAAAGACTTATTAAGACATTGGCTTCTAAAGGTCTYAAGGTAAAAAGGTTAATAGTGTCCTTCATAACATCACTAACTTCCTTCGCAGTGAACGTAGACATGTTGCTGTTGAATGGTGGACATTCCTGGAATACCTGGTCTTCTCCAAAATAATTTTCCTGCAATGAAAGTTATMTTCCATTATTAAGCAATATGTTTCTTTCTAAACTGTTAAGTCGGGAAGACTTCATTTCATTAAAAAATCTAGTGATATAGGTCTAGAAATAGGTGATACAAAACTTCTCAAGTTGTCGCACAATAATGTTGCTGTGCAACTTTTATGTAAATGTTTATCGTTTTCAAATTGCCTAACACTGATAATTATTCGCAAAACAAACACGAACTATGAAATGCAGAAGTGCCGACGCTAAACGTTAAAAACAACCATGTTGCGCAATGTCGCTCTTGTTGTCTTTTCACTCTGTATTTCTTTGCATTAAAAAAGGCTTGAATCTGACACGAGAACACAAGACCGGACAATAAACAAACTTATAAGCATTCCATTGCCGTTAAACATTATAAGCATTCCATTGCCGTTAAACAAGGTTAAACATTATAAGCATTCCATTGCCGTTACCTTAATTGCTGCTAAGACTTTCAAAACAGAACCAAACAGACGAAGTGCTGCAGGTCCTGCTTCTAGCTCTAATGTAATGACATCAGGTTCCATCTCTGATGGTTGCCATTTCAGGGGTTCGTCTCTAGGTACAATGTACTTGGGATTGGGGATTATAGGATGGTACATATATCCAATAGATAGACCTAAAATTGGTACAGACATAACATCCACCCATCCATGATTCTTAGCTGTATGCCTACTAAATATGGTACTAAATGTATTATTGTTTGAGCCCGCAAATGCACTTTCATCAGCACTTTCAATGCCTTCTTCTGGGAACCCTGTGCTGGTAGATGATCG